AATTTCTTTAAATTATATATATATATTTTTTTTGAACTTTTAATGAAATTAAAATAATAATTAATCCATATTTTATAATTGTGTACTGACGAAAAACAAATGAAAAAAAAAATACACGCAACTTGTATAATATAAACAAGGATTGACGAGTGCCAACTTATCACTAACAGGACACCATTAAAGTGTCGTAAAAAACTTGCTTTAAATTTTATATCCTTTCACTTTTTTTTTCCAAACTAATAACCTTAATTTAAAAGATCTCTTTATTTACGCAAGTCGCAATCTTCATTGTACATATATATATATATATATGCAAAGAAAAATATTTTTAATATAAACTAATAATAAAACTCAAGGAGAAAAAAAATGCTTATCTGTTTTATCTCTCAATCAATGTCAAAAGTTGAAAAAAATATAGTAAATTTTTTTTTTTTAAATTTACCTAAATTCCATATAGTAATTAGAAAAGAAAAAGAGAGGAGTGAATTTTCTTTTCTAGCATATAGGAATGAAGTACCTGATTCTCTTGGTAATCGATCTACGATCCAGAGCACGATCTCATCGGCGCTTTGAAATCCTAGTGAAACACATTCATGTTGGATTCCAGACATCGATATAAATAAATATATATATATACGATTTGATCGAAAATAGCGATCAGGATTCCAAACGAATCTTGTTGTTTTTCTTGTGTGTTTAAGACTTTCAGTCATCTCGTCTAGAATTTCTCCAACTTGCTATAGAGAAAATTTTTCTCTCTCTCTCTCTCTTTATAGCTGTCCTATTACTTCCATATTGGCTGTTAATTGATTAAGACAATTAAGACAACCTTGTACCGTCTAAATCGTTGTTTTTGGAGAGTTCTTTTCATTCCATTACTATTTTTAATTAGCCACTTTTAATTACTTTAAACTTTTAAATTGACTTTAATTCCGTATTTGAAATCACAAATTGATGAATTAGAATTACATGTTCATATTTCTGCAGATAGTTTTATGTTAGTCAATCTTTTTCTCTCTTAATTTTAAAAAACATCTTGGAATTAATTTTATCCAAGTTTTGTTTTTTTTTTGTCAGCATCTGCGTAATTGATTTTCAATTATTTCTGTCGCCTATGCGTTCTTTCTTTTCCCTTTTTAAATTTTGTAATTAAATATTGTTCCATTGAAAATGGTTGTTTTTAAAAGTGTATTTTTTTATTATTTTTTTTTCCATCAGTTTGTTAATAAAAAAACTATGTGAGATTAATAAGAAAATTAAAAAATCGGCTAGTAGATAGAATTTATTTATTTTTGCCAAAAAAAAACAATTTTAAGTAGTTCTCAAAGAATAAAAAATAACAATTACAAAAGTCGTCTGACTAAAATTGTATTTTACTACTGATAAAAAAATTTCAAAATTTGTCAGGTCTGACTGAAATCGACTATTTCTACTGATTCCAAATTTAAAATAACTGAAATATACTGATTCCTACTAATGACAAAGTTAAAATTTCTAGAAAAAAATGTCTGACTGAAACTGACTTTTACTACTGATTTTGAATTCACAAGAAAACTGAAATTTATTAATTACTACTAATGATAAAGTGATGGTTTCTGAAAAAAATTTTGTCTGACTAAAATTGTCTTTTACTACTGATAAAAATTTACAAAACTTGACAGGTCTGACTAAAATCGACTTTTACTACTGATTTCGAATTCACAATCACTATAAAATTTATTAATTACTACCAATGACAAAGTGAAAGTTCCTAAAAATGCTTTGTCTGACTAAAATGATTTCTACTACTGATTTAAAAAAACCAAATATCTCTGGTCTGACTGAAACTGACTTTTACTACTGATAAAAATTTACAAAACTTGACACGTCTGACTAAAATCGACTTTTACTACTGATTTCGAATTCACAATCACTATAAAATTTATTAATTACTACCAATGACAAAGTTCCTAAAAATGTTTTGTCTGTCTAAAATGATTTCTACTACTGATTTAAAAAAAAACAAAAATTTCCCTGGTCTGATTAAAACTGACTTTTACTACTGATTGTAAAATTTACAAGAACTTGCTGAGTGTGACTAAATCTAAATGTTACTACTAATGCGTGAAAAATTTGATGTCTGACTAACACTGGTTTTTACTACTGATACAAAAACTTGTACATGTCTGACCGTGACTGACTTTTACTACTGAATTTAAAAAAAAATATTTTTCATTTCTAATTTTTTTCAATTAATTCAAAAGTAAAAAAATAACTCTTTTTAAATTATGACCGCAAAATGTATATTAAAATTAAAGAATTTTTTTGCCAAGTATTTTGTTATTCGCATTGAATTTCCATATAGCGAGATTGTGAAGTTGTTCTTCAATCATTTGTGCTGTGAATTTAATTGAGCACCTAAAGGATTTCTTTAGGCTTTAAGTAAACGATTTTTATCTCTCTTTTCTTTCTTTCTGAAGGTAATAAATGATTTTCCAACTTCCTCGCTTCTTTCTCTCTTTCATTCTTTCATTCTTAATTGGAACATGTTTCCATCTCATTTTAACTCGACAGTTTATATATATATATATATATATATATATATATATATATACAGTTGACCGAAGAGAACCTTGCATCAGGATAACCCGCTGTGATTGAGTAATTCGAGTCCAGTCTGTCTCGCGATCGTCTGTCGAAACCTAGTGACGGGGAATCTAATAACAGGGATCTCGGGCAGTCTTAAGAAACGAGAGATGAAGTTAATTATCGCTTATGTATAGATCTTGTGCCAGCCTCTTCGTAAATTACTTTAGAGTGCTTCTCTTCTCGTACAACTCACGGATTAATTATGGATACAGAACTTTTTTTTTTTTTGCAAGAATACATATATATACTGTTTTTATTTATAAATATTTGTATCTAGACTAATACACTCTAAACGAACTTTAATAAAAGAAATAAAATATTCATTGATTTTTTTTAATATAATCGAAATGTGGGACTTTTTTAATTTCCTTATATTTAAAATGTTTGTATATCTTCTGGATCGACATATTTATAGTGGTACAATTAAAATAGATTTGTATATTTTAAATTTATTTTATTGATCTATATATGATAATAGTTTCGTTGATTGCAATTTTAGTTGCGGTTGTTAAAAAAAAAAATTCTGAATTCTAATTAAAAATGATCAAGTTTATTTATATCGCCAATTAAAAATTTTTAATCATAAAATTTTGTTTACGGAAATATTATATTTATATTGAGTAGATATTTGTTTCTTTTTTTTAACTTGTTGACGAAATCGCTGATTTTTTTTTTCTTTTGCAAAATTATTTAAATTGACTTTAATTGATTTTTTAAGCTTTCAATAAAGGTAATTAAATTATAATATTTATTGACTTGTGTTTCAAGTATAAATATCCATGCTATATGTAAAATATATTTTGAAATTTTTGATTTTATTCTTAAAAAATTAATCCAAATAATAATTGAGAAATATTTTTTTATATAAAACAAAATAAAAAGAAATAACAGGAAATTAATTAATCTTCATTTAGACAAGAGAGATATATTTGAAAAAAATTTTGGCTGCTAAAATATATTGTTGATAATTATCAAATAATTTTTATCGTATATCATATAAGATTATGTTCTTCCTGTCAGTTATTTTTTTCTATTTTTATATAAATTGGCTGATGATAATAGAATGCTTTTATCATAAATTTCGTAATGGAATTTATTATTAATTTTTGTTAAACTTGAAACAATTTTGGATTATAATTTATGTTAAAATTAATTTTCTTTATGTAATTTTTTTTTTCGATGGTATGTTTCTTGAATTGTTATTGGTTCGTATATATATATATGTGTGTGTATATGCGAGAGAAGCAATCGCGGTTTAAGATCATTCGAACCGGTTCCCTATTCTTTAATATTGCGAAAATGTCGGTGCCCGATTGGAAATCAATTGGGGCCGTGGATCCGTGATAGTCGTGACTGCGGCAATCGCGGCTTGTGGAAAAGATCGAGATCAGCTGGCCAAACACAGAATATATATATATATATATATATATGCATATACATTCGCTTTGTAAATTTCACATAATATATATATATTTTTTTTTTCAAAATATATACAGAAGCATCTGTACATTTAAAGATAAATTAAGGTCATTCTTTGAATTCACATATATAGAGAGATTTTATCAACCAAAAATTACCAATTTCATACGAAATATACAAACACGCGCGATTCAATCTTACTTCATATACATCCTGGAATTTTTGTTCCACTGTATAAGCAGTGAAATTTCACGTATTTCATTATAACGAAAAATTTTTATTTCATTTCTAATTTTAAAATAGAAAATTGTTATTAATTAATTAATTTGAATTTTCTTGAGAGTAAATAATTTGTTCTGCAGAGAAATTTTTTATTTAAACCAAATATGCATTTGAAATTAAATGAAAAATTTGTCTCAGAGCTAGATATCTATTTGTTTTAATTAAAATATTAATTAAGTAATTAATTTATTAATTCATTAATTAATTTTCTATAGAAAAGTAAATATTAATTTACAGATATATTTTTTTTATTCTCAATTTTGTAAAAATATAAAATTTAAAGTTTGTATTCAAAAAGTTTAAGTGGATTTTGAATATTTAAAAAAAAAATCGTTTTTCTGAGATATTTATTTCTTAATGATGTTGATAAACGTAGAAATCTGTTTGATCATCGTCTATCAACCAGTAACTACCGCCACGGAAAGTGTTGCAACCTTCTTATTCTTTCAACAAAGTTGCTTCGTCGATATAGAAGTTACCTGTAAATAAATTTTTCCCACGACTAATTGAAGCCAATTTTTTTTAAAAATATTTCAAAATAAAAGTATTGAAAAATAATTTCGTAAATAAAAGTTACTATTATTAATTTATTTATATATAAATGATTAATTTACAATTTCCTTTTTAATGAATTAATTTTTTGATAAAAAAATTTTTTTTTTATGTTACAGAAGGATGTTGCGTATCTTTTATTCTTTGCTGCTTCTGACATCATTCGGTAAGTTCTTTTTTAATTTATTTACAAATGATAAGAATTACTTATATACTGCTAAAAATAATTATTAAACATAATTTTCGTTTTAATGATTTAAAAATTGAGGGTTATCATCGAAACAACAAGAACTGATTATCTTATAAACAAAGAATTATAAAATACATTTTAATGTATAAAAATATTTTTCAATTTTTATAATCTTTCGTTTAGAAATTGGATATCAGGAAAATACAAATTCATCACATACAGGAACATTTTCAATTGATATATCTGATGATTTTGAACAATATTCTATCAATGAATATGAAGATCCCATAACGAAAAATTATCATTGTTCAGTTAAAAATTCCATGAGAAATAATTCATTTATTCCTGATCCTCATATTCTGAAATATTTGGATTCTAATGGACTTTTATCTATTCGTCCTAAAAAGCATTACTATCAGGTTAATTTATTATAAAATAATTAAATTAAAATTTTTTAATAGAATTTCGATTAATTTTGAAATATTAAAAATTTCTAAATATACAAAAATAAAATCTTCTTTAATTATATTTAGATTCGTCAAATACGACAAAGATTATGTAAATTTGGTTTTGATCCATTTCGCATTGATAAAAAACCAGGCTCAATTCATAAACGATTTAAGCACAATTTACGTTTGATGATTTATAATACACCAGGAATGTTTCCAAATTTAAAAATTATTCGAAATGATCTTGATCGTCGAAGAAAACGTGAACCACAATTATGGTTAAAATTTGAAATTTCCAATGGATCACTGACAGCTGAATTTGATTATGATAATTATTTTATTCTAATTATTGGCGATTTAGCTAGAATTCAAGCTTTTTCAAAAATGCTCGTTGCAGTAAAATTACACAAGAGATTAAATAATTTTCACGATCCTGTTTGTTATAAAGTAGGTCGAAATTAAATTAAGAAGGTCGGTGAAGTTCACATCGATTACGAGCATCGAAATTTTAAAAACCAAGATACTTCACAGAAAATTACAAAAAACTTACAAAAAACTTACAAAAAACATTATACTTAAAAAAAATTAAGTTCAACCTCAAAATTCATTAGAAAAACACCCCTACTATAATCCCCTAAATTAACATTAACAAATATAAAATTGAAATTTCATTACACACCCACAATTTTACTGCAAATACTTGCACAAAATACACCTAAAAGTGTAGAAAAAAATTGACAGCCAAATACGAGTAAAGGAAGACACCTATTACCACCAAAAAGCCATCCAAAATCATAAAAAAGTTCCCAAAAAAATTCAATTTTTCTTAGGCAGAAGATTTTATTGCATATTCTTGCACAAATAACACCGAAAACTGTTGAAAAAAATTGACGCCCAGATCCGAGTAGAGGAAGACCATTCTTATGACCAAAAACGCATGAAAAACCAAAAAAAATTACCAAAAAAATTCAATTTTTCTTAGGCAGAAGATTTTATTGCATATTCTTGCACAAAATACACCGAAAAGTGTAGAAAAAAATTGACACCCAGATCCGAGTAGAGGAAGACACCTATTACCACCAAAAAGCCATCCAAAATCATAAAAAACTTACCAAAAAAATTCAATTTTTCTAAGGCAGAAGATTTTATTGCATATTCTTGCACAAAATACACCGAAAAGTGTAGAAAAAAATTGACACCCAGATCCGAGTAGAGGAAGACCTTTTTTATGACCAAAAACGCATGAAAAACCAAAAAAAATTACCAAAAAAATTCAATTTTTCTTAGGCAGAAGATTTTATTGCATATTCTTGCACAAAATACACCGAAAAGTGTAGAAAAAAATTGACACCCAGATCCGAGTAGAGGAAGACCATTTTTATGACCAAAAACGCATGAAAAACCAAAAAAAATTACCAAAAAAATTCAATTTTTCTTAGGCAGAAGATTTTTTTGCATATTCTTGCACAAAATACACCTAAAAGTGTAGAAAAAAATTAACACCCAGATCCGAGTAGAGGAAGACCATTTTTATGACCAAAAACGCATGAATAACCAAAAAAACTTACCAAAAAAATTCAATTTTTCTTAGGCAGAAGATTTTATTGCATATTCTTGCACAAAATACACCGAAAAGTGTAGAAAAAAATTGACACCCAGATCCGAGTAGAGGAAGACCATTTTTATGACCAAAAACGCATGAAAAACCAAAAAAAATTACCAAAAAAATTCAATTTTTCTTAGGCAGAAGATTTTATTGCATATTCTTGCACAAAATACACCGAAAAGTGTAGAAAAAAATTGACACCCAGATCCGAGTAGAGGAAGACCATTTTTATGACCAAAAACGCATGAAAAACCAAAAAAACTTACCAAAAAAATTCAATTTTTCTTAGGCAGAAGATTTTATTGCATATTCTTGCACAAAATACACCGAAAAGTGTAGAAAAAAATTGACACCCAGATCCGAGTAGAGGAAGACCATTTTTATGACCAAAAACGCATGAAAAACCAAAAAAAATTACCAAAAAAATTCAATTTTTCTTAGGTAGAAGATTTTATTGCATATTCTTGCACAAAATACACCGAAAAGTGTAGAAAAAAATTGACACCCAGATCCGAGTAGAGGAAGACCATTTTTATGACCAAAAACGCATGAAAAACCAAAAAAAATTACAAAAAAAATTCAATTTTTCTTAGGCAGAAGATTTTATTGCATATTCTTGCACAAAATACACCGAAAAGTGTAGAAAAAAATTGACACCCAGATCCGAGTAGAGGAAGACCATTTTTATGACCAAAAACGCATGAAAAACCAAAAAAAATTACAAAAAAAATTCAATTTTTCTTAGGCAGAAGATTTTATTGCATATTCTTGCACAAAATACACCGAAAAGTGTAGAAAAAAATTGACACCCAGATCCGAGTAGAGGAAGACCATTTTTATGACCAAAAACGCATGAAAAACCAAAAAAACTTACCAAAAAAATTCAATTTTTCTTAGGCAGAAGATTTTATTGCATATTCTTGCACAAAATACACCGAAAAGTGTAGAAAAAAATTGACACCCAGATCCGAGTAGAGGAAGACCATTTTTATGACCAAAAACGCATGAAAAACCAAAAAAAATTACCAAAAAAATTCAATTTTTCTTAGGCAGAAGATTTTATTGCATATTCTTGCACAAAATACACCGAAAAGTGTAGAAAAAAATTGACACCCAGATCCGAGTAGAGGAAGACCATTTTTATGACCAAAAACGCATGAAAAACCAAAAAAACTTACCAAAAAAATTCAATTTTTCTTAGGCAGAAGATTTTATTGCATATTCTTGCACAAAATACACCGAAAAGTGTAGAAAAAAATTGATAGCCAAATACGAGTAGAGGAAGACACCTATTACCACCAAAAAGCCATCCAAAATCATAAAAAACTTACCAAAAAAATTCAATTTTTCTTAGGCAGAAGATTTTATTGCATATTCTTGCACAAAATACACCGAAAAGTGTAGAAAAAAATTGACACCCAGATCCGAGTAGAGGAAGACCTTTTTTATGACCAAAAACGCATGAAAAACCAAAAAAAATTACCAAAAAAATTCAATTTTTCTTAGGCAGAAGATTTTTTTGCATATTCTTGCACAAAATACACCTAAAAGTGTAGAAAAAAATTGACACCCAGATCCGAGTAGAGGAAGACCATTTTTATGACCAAAAACGCATGAAAAACCAAAAAAAATTACCAAAAAAATTCAATTTTTCTTAGGCAGAAGATTTTTTTGCATATTCTTGCACAAAATACACCTAAAAGTGTAGAAAAAAATTGACACCCAGATCCGAGTAGAGGAAGACCATTTTTATGACCAAAAACGCATGAATAACCAAAAAAACTTACCAAAAAAATTCAATTTTTCTTAGGCAGAAGATTTTATTGCATATTCTTGCACAAAATACACCGAAAAGTGTAGAAAAAAATTGACACCCAGATCCGAGTAGAGGAAGACCATTTTTATGACCAAAAACGCATGAAAAACCAAAAAAAATTACCAAATAAATTCAATTTTTCTTAGGCAGAAGATTTTATTGCATATTCTTGCACAAAATACACCGAAAAGTGTAGAAAAAAATTGACACCCAGATCCGAGTAGAGGAAGACCATTTTTATGACCAAAAACGCATGAAAAACCAAAAAAACTTACCAAAAAAATTCAATTTTTCTTAGGCAGAAGATTTTATTGCATATTCTTGCACAAAATACACCGAAAAGTGTAGAAAAAAATTGACACCCAGATCCGAGTAGAGGAAGACCATTTTTATGACCAAAAACGCATGAAAAACCAAAAAAAATTACCAAAAAAATTCAATTTTTCTTAGGCAGAAGATTTTATTGCATATTCTTGCACAAAATACACCGAAAAGTGTAGAAAAAAATTGACACCCAGATCCGAGTAGAGGAAGACCATTTTTATGACCAAAAACGCATGAAAAACCAAAAAAAATTACAAAAAAAATTCAATTTTTCTTAGGCAGAAGATTTTATTGCATATTCTTGCACAAAATACACCGAAAAGTGTAGAAAAAAATTGACACCCAGATCCGAGTAGAGGAAGACCATTTTTATGACCAAAAACGCATGAAAAACCAAAAAAAATTACAAAAAAAATTCAATTTTTTTAGGCAGAAGATTTTATTGCATATTCTTGCACAAAATACACCGAAAAGTGTAGAAAAAAATTGACACCCAGATCCGAGTAGAGGAAGACCATTTTTATGACCAAAAACGCATGAAAAACCAAAAAAACTTACCAAAAAAATTCAATTTTTCTTAGGCAGAAGATTTTATTGCATATTCTTGCACAAAATACACCGAAAAGTGTAGAAAAAAATTGATAGCCAAATACGAGTAGAGGAAGACACCTATTACCACCAAAAAGCCATCCAAAATCATAAAAAACTTACCAAAAAAATTCAATTTTTCTTAGGCAGAAGATTTTATTGCATATTCTTGCACAAAATACACCGAAAAGTGTAGAAAAAAATTGACACCCAGATCCGAGTAGAGGAAGACCATTTTTATGACCAAAAACGCATGAAAAACCAAAAAAACTTACCAAAAAAATTCAATTTTTCTTAGGCAGAAGATTTTATTGCATATTCTTGCACAAAATACACCGAAAAGTGTAGAAAAAAATTGACACCCAGATCCGAGTAGAGGAAGACCATTTTTATGACCAAAAACGCATGAAAAACCAAAAAAAATTACCAAAAAAATTCAATTTTTCTTAGGCAGAAGATTTTATTGCATATTCTTGCACAAAATACACCGAAAAGTGTAGAAAAAAATTGACACCCAGATCCGAGTAGAGGAAGACCATTTTTATGACCAAAAACGCATGAAAAACCAAAAAAAATTACAAAATAAATTCAATTTTTCTTAGGCAGAAGATTTTATTGCATATTCTTGCACAAAATACACCGAAAAGTGTAGAAAAAAATTGACACCCAGATCCGAGTAGAGGAAGACCATTTTTATATCCAAAAACGCATGAAAAACCAAAAAAAATTACAAAAAAAATTCAATTTTTTTAGGCAGAAGATTTTATTGCATATTCTTGCACAAAATACACCGAAAAGTGTAGAAAAAAATTGACACCCAGATCCGAGTAGAGGAAGACCATTTTTATGACCAAAAACGCATGAAAAACCAAAAAAACTTACCAAAAAAATTCAATTTTTCTTAGGCAGAAGATTTTATTGCATATTCTTGCACAAAATACACCGAAAAGTGTGGAAAAAAATTGACACCCAGATCCGAGTAGAGGAAGACCATTTTTATGACCAAAAACGCATGAAAAACCAAAAAAAATTACCAAAAAAATTCAATTTTTCTTAGGCAGAAGATTTTTTTGCATATTCTTGCACAAAATACACCTAAAAGTGTAGAAAAAAATTGACACCCAGATCCGAGTAGAGGAAGACCATTTTTATGACCAAAAACGCATGAAAAACCAAAAAAAATTACCAAAAAAATTCAATTTTTCTTAGGCAGAAGATTTTTTTGCATATTCTTGCACAAAATACACCTAAAAGTGTAGAAAAAAATTGACACCCAGATCCGAGTAGAGGAAGACCATTTTTATGACCAAAAACGCATGAATAACCAAAAAAACTTACCAAAAAAATTCAATTTTTCTTAGGCAGAAGATTTTATTGCATATTCTTGCACAAAATACACCGAAAAGTGTAGAAAAAAATTGACACCCAGATCCGAGTAGAGGATACCATTTTTATGACCAAAAACGCATGAAAAACCAAAAAAAATTACCAAATAAATTCAATTTTTCTTAGGCAGAAGATTTTATTGCATATTCTTGCACAAAATACACCGAAAAGTGTAGAAAAAAATTGACACCCAGATCCGAGTAGAGGAAGACCATTTTTATGACCAAAAACGCATGAAAAACCAAAAAAACTTACCAAAAAAATTCAATTTTTCTTAGGCAGAAGATTTTATTGCATATTCTTGCACAAAATACACCGAAAAGTGTAGAAAAAAATTGACACCCAGATCCGAGTAGAGGAAGACCATTTTTATGACCAAAAACGCATGAAAAACCAAAAAAAATTACCAAAAAAATTCAATTTTTCTTAGGCAGAAGATTTTATTGCATATTCTTGCACAAAATACACCGAAAAGTGTAGAAAAAAATTGACACCCAGATCCGAGTAGAGGAAGACCATTTTTATGACCAAAAACGCATGAAAAACCAAAAAAAATTACAAAAAAAATTCAATTTTTCTTAGGCAGAAGATTTTATTGCATATTCTTGCACAAAATACACCGAAAAGTGTAGAAAAAAATTGACACCCAGATCCGAGTAGAGGAAGACCATTTTTATGACCAAAAACGCATGAAAAACCAAAAAAAATTACAAAAAAAATTCAATTTTTTTAGGCAGAAGATTTTATTGCATATTCTTGCACAAAATACACCGAAAAGTGTAGAAAAAAATTGACACCCAGATCCGAGTAGAGGAAGACCATTTTTATGACCAAAAACGCATGAAAAACCAAAAAAACTTACCAAAAAAATTCAATTTTTCTTAGGCAGAAGATTTTATTGCATATTCTTGCACAAAATACACCGAAAAGTGTAGAAAAAAATTGACACCCAGATCCGAGTAGAGGAAGACCATTTTTATGACCAAAAACGCATGAAAAACCAAAAAAACTTACCAAAAAAATTCAATTTTTCTTAGGCAGAAGATTTTATTGCATATTCTTGCACAAAATACACCGAAAAGTGTAGAAAAAAATTGACACCCAGATCCGAGTAGAGGAAGACCATTTTTATGACCAAAAACGCATGAAAAACCAAAAAAAATTACCAAATAAATTCAATTTTTCTTAGGCAGAAGATTTTATTGCATATTCTTGCACAAAATACACCGAAAAGTGTAGAAAAAAATTGACACCCAGATCCGAGTAGAGGAAGACCATTTTTATGACCAAAAACGCATGAAAAACCAAAAAAACTTACCAAAAAAATTCAATTTTTCTTAGGCAGAAGATTTTATTGCATATTCTTGCACAAAATACACCGAAAAGTGTAGAAAAAAATTGACACCCAGATCCGAGTAGAGGAAGACCATTTTTATGACCAAAAACGCATGAAAAACCAAAAAAAATTACCAAAAAAATTCAATTTTTCTTAGGCAGAAGATTTTATTGCATATTCTTGCACAAAATACACCGAAAAGTGTAGAAAAAAATTGACACCCAGATCCGAGTAGAGGAAGACCATTTTTATGACCAAAAACGCATGAAAAACCAAAAAAAATTACAAAAAAAATTCAATTTTTCTTAGGCAGAAGATTTTATTGCATATTCTTGCACAAAATACACCGAAAAGTGTAGAAAAAAATTGACACCCAGATCCGAGTAGAGGAAGACCATTTTTATGACCAAAAACGCATGAAAAACCAAAAAAAATTACAAAAAAAATTCAATTTTTTTAGGCAGAAGATTTTATTGCATATTCTTGCACAAAATACACCGAAAAGTGTAGAAAAAAATTGACACCCAGATCCGAGTAGAGGAAGACCATTTTTATGACCAAAAACGCATGAAAAACCAAAAAAACGTACCAAAAAAATTCAATTTTTCTTAGGCAGAAGATTTTATTGCATATTCTTGCACAAAATACACCGAAAAGTGTAGAAAAAAATTGACACCCAGATCCGAGTAGAGGAAGACCATTTTTATGACCAAAAACGCATGAAAAACCAAAAAAACTTACCAAAAAAATTCAATTTTTCTTAGGCAGAAGATTTTATTGCATATTCTTGCACAAAATACACCGAAAAGTGTAGAAAAAAATTGACACCCAGATCCGAGTAGAGGAAGACCATTTTTATGACCAAAAACGCATGAAAAACCAAAAAAAATTACCAAAAAAATTCAATTTTTCTTAGGCAGAAGATTTTATTGCATATTCTTGCACAAAATACACCTAAAAGTGTAGAAAAAAATTGACACCCAGATCCGAGTAGAGGAAGACCATTTTTATGAACAAAAACGCATGAAAAACCAAAAAAACTTACCAAAAAAATTCAATTTTTCTTAGGCAGAAGATTTTATTGCATATTCTTGCACAAAATACACCGAAAAGTGTAGAAAAAAATTGACACCCAGATCCGAGTAGAGGAAGACCATTTTTATGACCAAAAACGCATGAAAAACCAAAAAAACTTACCAAAAAAATTCAATTTTTCTTAGGCAGAAGATTTTATTGCATATTCTTGCACAAAATACACCGAAAAGTGTAGAAAAAAATTGACACCCAGATCCGAGTAGAGGAAGACCATTTTTATGACCAAAAACGCATGAAAAACCAAAAAAAATTACCAAAAAAATTCAATTTTTCTTAGGCAGAAGATTTTATTGCATATTCTTGCACAAAATACACCTAAAAGTGTAGAAAAAAATTGACACCCAGATCCGAGTAGAGGAAGACCATTTTTATGAACAAAAACGCATGAAAAACCAAAAAAACTTACCAAAAAAATTCAATTTTTCTTAGGCAGAAGATTTTATTGCATATTCTTGCACAAAATACACCTAAAAGTGTAGAAAAAAATTGACAGCCTAATCGAAGTAGAGGAAGATTACTATTGCCACGCTTAATGCAATCCTTAGCATAAAAAATTTTTTTAAAACATTCAATTTTTCTTAGTTATACTGTTTTAGTGCAAATTCTTGCACAAAATACATTTAGAAGTGTAGAAAAAAATTTATAGCTAAATACATATAGAGAAAGACCCCTATTTGTAATTTTTTGTTGTGCTTATTCAGTATCTTGCACTGAAAAAAATTCCTAACACCTGTATACCAGGAATTGACTAATTTGCCTGGTTACGAGAGGAACCCACTAGGCAATTTTGGTCAAAGTTGATTTCGACAATAAGTGAGAAAGGCTAGGGAACCTTATCAGGATAACCAGGTATCTTAATTACATTGGCTAGAGTTATTTTTACTAAATAAACTATAGCGAAATTGGCTATAGATACATGTCATATTAACCAAAAATATTAGTTAATACAACTAGGATAGAAGCTGTCAATTTTACTAAATCGACTTTGACAATATTAAACAATCTACATAACTAAATTGATTAGGATTCTTGGTCGTAATCGATGTGAACTTCACCGATCTAATTAATAATTATAGTTGTAATAAAATTTAAAAGGAAAAAATCGATTAACAAAATTTTCTTTTTCTTTACAAAAAAGGTTAACTTGGATCTTGGAATAGTGGACGTTATTATGTCAACATTTGGGTTTTGGATGATGAGGGATAAAACACTATTGTCAGAAATGATAAAAGCTCTCAATGGAATTCGAACTGAAGTCACAGAAAGTGGTGAAGTTAAAATTGAATTTGAGGAATCATTTAAAGAAGCCACTGATAAATTAGATCCAAATCTTTATTCTTATATATGGTTATTGTCACTTGCTGAAAAATTCGAAGTTGTAAAAATTACTGGTACATCGAAATTAAATTCGACATTATAATTAAATAATTATTTTTTGATAATTTCTCAATATATATGTATGTATATATAGAAATAAAATTTCTAAAGGATTAAACTAGTGGAAATAAAGAGTAGCAAATATATTTATATATAAGGATAAGAGATGTGAATTTAGAAAACAGGTTCTACTGGCTCAAACATCACACGATTCAGATTGTTCGATAAGGTAGAAATAAACTATAATATGTGGTGAGTTTCTTATTACTTTATACCACTTTCTGTTTTCTAGGTGTGGCTAATGAAAAGCTTGTTAGTAATAGTCATTCTTAATTCAAAAGGTGTGAGTGATTTAGTTTGGAGTTCTCTGTACGTATATTTCGATGAGAGAGTTTGTCGATCAAACAGACTTTCATGTTACTCTTGTTTGCACTTTGGGTCATTGCTTGTAGATGGAGCAACATTTCTTATTAGCAAATAATTTTTCTCTATTGTAATTTTGAAAAATATTTTTAGTATTGTTTTTTAATTTTTATTTTTTCCTTGATTACTTGTGTGCACAAATATTTGCTTTCTTCAAAATTTTTTCTTTTGGTATAATTTTTTTGAATTTTAAATGCTTCTTTTTTTTTGCTTTCATTGTTTCTAAATTGTTGCCTTCTTTTTCCATTATTCTGTTCTTTGCTTGTATATATTAAAAAATACTTTAATAAAAAAAAACTTTTTTTAAATATAGAGGCACGGATGTGAAAAATGATCTTTTGAACCAAGTTACTGAAGATAAATTCATGTGTTGGTTTATTTACAGGGGGGTCAAAGATCAATTTCTAGTCGAATGCTCGGAATGCATATATGGGCGGGGATATGGCTACCGTTTACGGTGCATAAGGTATCACTAGGTGAAGCTTCGAAGTTGTACCGCCTGCGTATATGCATATAAATCTGTTAACACTGTAAAAAGGATTATATATATGTTTTATATCCATACTCGCGAACTCATCGTGTAAAATAAATAAAAAAAGGAAAATATCGAAAATTTTCTTTAAAAAAAAAAATTATTTTGGTAAAATTGAAACCAAGCAAAAAAAATGTTTGAATTTAAAAAAAAAAAACTTTCATAATAATTAGAAGAAAAGTATTAGATACTTAAAAATACATTGGAAACATTATTATGTAATTATAAATATTATCACGTACTCAATATATTTGAAGTAGTTATTATAAATTATTGAGCTGCCTTATCTATTTGTTAGTAGATTTTTCTTTTTGTTTCATTTGAACTAGTTATAACCAAGAAATTGAATTTCGTTTGACATTTTAATGGATGACTGTTAGTTTTTCCATAGAAAGATAACAATTGGCATTTTTTTTTTTTTTTCATTTTTTATTGGTGCATATAGACATGTCACGCTTGAATTCGCATGAAATGGGTTTTTTGTGTATAGTACAGTGTACGGGCATGAATTAGCAGCTTTTGGTCAATTAATGTGTTGTTTGAGAAATTTTACATGCATCGTGATTTAAATTTATAACCAGCTTATGAGATAACGTCGTTTGTTATGTATATAAAATCATAGACTTTTTGTCGTATTAAAAAATTGTATAAAAATTTAAAAAAAATTTCCATTTATCTTTAAGTAAAATTTTCTCTAAAGAAAAATGAAAATTTTACCTCATTTTCTTTGTATTACGAATTATAGTTAAATTATAGAAAAAAGAAAAAAATATTTTTAAAATTAGTAAATTCCTTTAGATTTATGGTTTTTCGTTGTAAATTTCACTTGTCTTTATCCGATTTCGAATCTTTAAATTTGATACGTTTTCTTTTTTTTCTACCTATTTAATTAATTTATCATTTAATTTTATCGTACTATACCTTCGTGAATATATTTTATGCGTATTTTTATAAAAAAATTTTTCTCACTTGCTATTTTAATAAATATATTTAAAGATTTAATCAAGAAATCTCGCATATGTCTTAACATTTATATAAACATGTGGAAATTTGCAACACATTTATATTTTGATATAGAAAAGACTATTTCATCCCGATCACATAAATATAAATATACATCCTGTGTGTGTTTGCTGTAAGCACGCGACTCTATCATTCCCTGTCATTGCGTTAACTCGAGAGTGATTGTAAATCAATGACATGTGATCAATCCAAGCAATTTTCAAATTGAAAACTTGATTTTCATGTATATATTTCTCTGGAATGAATGAGAATTTCGTTATATATATATATATATATTTGATAACATCTTATAGAACAGGTGTGACTACTTGAATTTTACAAAAAAAAAATTCCTATTTTTTTTTAATTATAATATTATAATTTCCAGGAATAATGGTATATTTTCTCTTTCTCTCTCTTTCGAATTAATTTCATGTGAAATTTATATTAATTATTTTTATAAATTATTATTCCCATCAATTTTTTTTTTACCATTGATTCTCCTATAATTTAATTTCAGTTTTAGATTTTAATTATGCGATCAAGATTTATCGCCTGATAGTTTTAAATTATAATGCTAAATATTTTTTTTGCGATTGAGATCTGTTTTTGAATTTAATATTTTCAAATTGTGTCTAATAGCGGTTAATATCAAAAAGTCTATAAATAATACAGAAGTATTAGATACAAGTATTATAAATATATATATATATATATATATATATATATATATATATATATATATATATATATATATATATATAATATGGTTAGGATTTATTTAAAATTTTTTCTGAAAAATCGGTTCTCTTTAATTTAAAACGAGTCATAAGTCAGAAGAATGATAGCTTCTATCTTTAGAAATATATATAAAGTAATTATTAACGATAGAAAATCCGTTGGGGTTTCTGAACTACGCAATAATTATATATGTGCATAGATCGGATGCTGTGAAATAAATCAATTTGACATTTAGCTTTGGCTAATTAGTTACATATACTTTTTGATTAATCATTTCTTTCATATAGAACTATTTTCATGAGAATTAAAATTTCAAAAATTAGAAATATTAGTCTTTTTGAATTTTTAGATTTTTCTTTTTTTTTTTTTTTTTAATCATTTGTGCAATGAAATGTCGATTATAACTAATGACGTGAGAGTGGGTTTAAAAAAAAAAAATCTTTTTCTTTCGAACGGTATTCGTATAACTGTTGGTATGGGCACGTTCAGATTTTTCCGACGACTCTTGGTTTTGCATCGGACTTTGTTTATCACGATTCACGTCACACGCGGCCTCGATCGAATCGAGAGACTATTGCTGTGTGTGGGGCTGTCGATAGAAGCATGTCGATCGCTGGCAAAACGATAACAAAAGAGTAGCTCAGTTCTCTTTGCAATTTTTTTTTTTGCAAACGGTATATATATATGTATATGATTCACACGCATTGACCGATACAAAGGAGAATGTGCTTCATCACTTTAGTTAATGAGTCTTCAAAGTGCTTCCTTCGATTTTACACTGTGTCTATATAGTATCACCTGTATATATTTGAATCGAGGCAATAATTAGCTTTCATCGATTTCTTGACTTGTCGTGTTGTCGTCGATCAGTATTACAATCAATTTTTAACACACCTTTTGCTTCTAGTTTCACTAGATTAATCTCTTCTCTCACTACTAGCAGCTAAATTCTGTTCAGTTTCTTTTTTACCTTCATTTTTTTTTGTACCCAACTGTAATGACAAAATTAAGTGTTGGATTAGCTCGCCGGATCAGGTTTCGTTTTTAAGCAACGGTATTACAGACACAATTCGAAAAATAACGTTTATTTACAAAAAAAAGGACGACATAACCTAAAAATTACATACTTACAACGCGATTACAAAAAAGTACGATATAAACGATTTTTACAATAAGAATATACGACGAGAACAATTTAAATATAAAACGATCAAAAATACGGATTACATTATTCTACGTTACGTTACGTTCTCTACGTCGGAGGAACGGAAGCGACGATGAATAACTACGTCAGGGGTTATGTACAAAACGGGAACGTAAAAATGCAGTAATGCTGCTTTGTGACTCCGTGAACCACAAGAGTCTGCCGATTTTTTGCGGGAGTGCAGCTTATATAGCCGATCGGTGGCTGGGACGCTTGCGAGAGAGCCCGGCGGTATAGCTCTCGCGGCGTGATCGGGTACTACGACATACTTTGCGGTCGGTAACATTTTATCGACATGGGGTATATACTTTTATCGACGTGGGGCAAATATTTAATACAATTATTTATCCGCGAATTTTCAAAAACAATCTTTACACAACTGTCAATAGTATAAAATACTAATGGTAGAAGAATATTCCTTTTTGTACGGCATGTATTTTTATTCGATTAACGGATTCTTTTTAGGGTTTCTTGGCTCAGGCCGTTTCCCTATAGCAACCGTTGAATATAAATAATTTTGTTTCTGCTAAAACTGAAAAATAATATTTTTATTTATGAAACAAGTGATTTTCTGTAAAATTAGGTACATATATACAAGTGGCCAGTTATTTAAAGGAAAAGACAAAACTTTACCAGTTGACCGACCGCGGAGTGATAAATATGTGTGTATTAGCTTGAGATGATATCTTGGAGTCGGGAAACTGCATTGAAATACGTTACGCGATATGTGGTTATAATCTTTAGTTTTTTAAACCCTTTGTAAATATTTTATTTGCTAAAAAATTATTCTAATTTTTCCCTTTTCAAAAATTTATTTTTTCCTATACTCAAAAATCAAGACTACTTTGATTTTGTAAATTACTTTCTAAATTTTAATTTTGACATTAAATGATTAAATCACACTAATCTTTTTTTTTCAATTTGATAACTCTATTCTCTCTAGTTTCACATAATATTAATTAGCTATACTGATTTAATTTTTTTTCCCCCTTAAATTCTTTACTCGCACAATCAGAAATAAACTGGTTTTCATGATTTTCTTTTTCTTTTTTTAATCGCAACTATAATCGTGTACAATATTCTTGCCTCATAGATATGACACTGATTAATCAGATTCATTTTAATATTGTGTCCAATGATTTTTTTTTCGTTATTGCACCGTTAAGATCGTTCTAAGTGGTTTTGTCTGATATGCATATATTTTTTTCCTTCTTTTTTGCCCCATGAAACATAGAGAATGTTTTTCATTTCCTGGAATGTTCAGTTGATTAATCAGGTTTATTTTGACAATAAGAATTACATGCCCATTACTAATAACATAAGTAGATATCGTGTTTGAACATTAATTTAGACAAACTAACTTTTATGCGTATAGAACTAAATTTTCTATAATTTTTAATATTAACGATATCGTGTTACATTATTCTTATGTATATCTAAGAATTATTTGCAATAAACACCGGTGTTCTAACAAATTTTATATATGAGTATTAGATTCTATATTGTCAATAGATTAAAAATAGTAGATAGAGAATGAGGAATTCAAAATCGGGTTTTTTTTTCGTTTAGAAAAAAATTCAGTTTCCTTTTTCAGGATTTTGATAGTTGTGAATTAAATTTAGAATAAAATAGA